GAGTCGGGAAAAGTATTTAGTGACGAAATTAAATTTTGGTCGTTAATATTCAAGAACGATGTATTTTCGTCGTACAAAATTATTGGTTACTGATAAAAATTTTCGTCACTAATTTGCTATTCAGCAATAATTATTTTTTGTCACACAAAAGTACTTTTAATGACGAAAAATTTTCGTCGATCATTTGTCATTCACTGACAAATTTTTTTATTACACAAACTTGCTTTTTAATGATAAACATTTCGTCGCTCAATAGTCGTTTTTAAAGACAACAATATTCGTCATAAAATTCCTACAATTGGTGATGAAATTACTTTATCAATTAACCATAATAAAAATTGTTGATAAAAGTTTTAACGACAAAAATTTAACCAACAAAAAGCTAATCCTTGAGACAAATTTATTATTTTGTTGCTAAAAATTAATTTATTTTTTTATTAATTTTTCTTTTTAATCTCAATTCATCGTTTGTGATTTCATGGTTTTCATCTCCTATTATTCTATCATTGCATTCCAATCATAACCGATACAAATATTAAATGTCAAAAAATAATTTATTGCAATCAAAAGCTAATAACATTTGTCACTGCTGAGGCTGCAAAAATTATTCAAAAAATATCCCAATACATAATTATGTTGTATCAAATATCTCCCCAAAGAAATCCCAATTATGTGCTGTAGCTAACATCTGTCGTGAATAACAAATTTGAAAGGGAAACAAAATAAAGGTAACGAATCCAAATCTAATCATTTGACATAATTTTCAAACAAAAATCAACTTAATATATATCGACCGACCGTTATAACTCGTAAAACACATAATTAAATCAAACACAGCATATCAATAACTGTGATAAAAAAAACTACAAAATTTGCCATATCCATGGCTTGCATTGGCAAAAGGAAGAATTTTTGCGAGAGAGGTCATATTCCAAATAAAGATGATGAATATTGTGTTTCATTCGCCTTCAATCTTGGGGAGAGGAAAAGGTAGGCGTTGCAAATGATGAGGCCCATTTCGTTGTTCATCTTGGCATTAATCACCAATAGGTGGTGCGGCCTATTGTGAGGGGAAAGAGAGAAGCATTGGAATAGAATTGACATTATTGTTACTGCTTCTGGAAAACCAAAGGATAAACAGAGAAAGATGAAAGGTTGCCCACATTTATATTAATATAGGAGCTTTTGACCCATCCCAAAGTGTTTTGAAAAAAAAGTCTCAAATAATGGTTGATTTGAAAATATTTCCCAAACACAGATAGTTTTAAAAATGTGAGTTGATCTGACGTTTTTAATCTAAAAAGTCAGACCAAATGATTTTTTTTTGTGCAAAATTGGAGCCCATTTACACCTAAAAACGTTAGTACATTTGACGTTTTAGCTAAAAACGTCAATTGTATTGATGTTTTTAGCTATTTCCTCGTATTGCAAAAAGGTTTAAATAAATTATACTTACACTCCCTAACATTTGATTTTATTACATAGACACCTCCTCACATTTTAAAAATTACACTAAAACCCCTTAACATTTGAACATNTTAATTTATTTTTTTATTAATTTTTCTTTTTAATCTCAATTCATCGTTTGTGATTTCATGGTTTTCATCTCCTATTATTCTATCATTGCATTCCAATCATAACCGATACAAATATTAAATGTCAAAAAATAATTTATTGCAATCAAAAGCTAATAACATTTGTCACTGCTGAGGCTGCAAAAATTATTCAAAAAATATCCCAATACATAATTATGTTGTATCAAATATCTCCCCAAAGAAATCCCAATTATGTGCNTGATGTTTTTAGCTAAAACGTCAAAATGTACTGACGTTTTTAGGTGTAAATGGGCCACAATTTTGCACAAAAAAGGTCATTTGGTTTAACGTCTTTAAGTCTAAAAACGTCAAATCAACTGACGTTTTTAAAATTACCCGNTTATGTGCTGTAGCTAACATCTGTCGTGAATAACAAATTTGAAAGGGAAACAAAATAAAGGTAACGAATCCAAATCTAATCATTTGACATAATTTTCAAACAAAAATCAACTTAATATATATCGACCGACCGTTATAACTCGTAAAACACATAATTAAATCAAACACAGCATATCAATAACTGTGATANTAGATAGCTATAAATATAGACATAAATTGTGGCATTAAATCGGGAGGATAAACATGACATAATTGTAATGTTGGAGGATAAAAATAAAAAAAGAAATATTTTTTATACATGCTGATATTTTAAAGTAATATAAGTATATTAAGCTGATATATACACGAGACAGAAAAAAACCTCAAAGTTGACATCCAACTTGTTAGTAGAATCGACTGTACGATCATCAGTATAGGATCTCTACCCCAATCTAATATTAAAATATTGTGTTTAGATTTAGATCCACGGGAGCTCAACATTCGCAATCCATCAAGTTGGGGAGAGATTATACAATTCTTTGGAAGGTTAATAAAAACTCATGAATTGCTTAAAGATTTTCCTCTGAGCTTTTTTATGAGTATAAATATATATTTTTTTTCTGTTTTAGTTTTCAAAAAATGGGAGGAATTAAAAAAGGAATTAAATTATACTCTAATTGATTTGAGGTTTAATGTTTTTATATATCATTTGTCATTTATCAAAAATCTATAGATAAACAAAACTATGACTCATTTTTTCTCGAGCCCAGTGAGAAGAAAACTTATTATATGTCATTAAGGAATATTGTTCAAAACTATGAACTTATTTCTTTCCAATGAACCGTCTATTACACGTAGTATTTGTAATTTAACAACTTGAGAAGAAACTGTATTTTTAAAAAATATTATATGACTCAAATTTTTATCTCAAATAAAAGAAAACTATTAGATGAGTGAATTCTATCAATTTTTTTAAATAAAATTTAATAATATAATGATCCATTTTTATTTAAAATATAAATTTAAATTACATAGCATTAATCCAAACCCTTCTTTCAAAGCTTAATGTATTGAAAAACCACCCAAGCAATAGCATAAAAGAACAAGACACGAGAAGGCCATGCTTGAAAACATTGCGTTGAGTGGAATGGGTACGGTCCAACGCAGGCATGCTTCGTGACTGCCACTAATTACAAGCTCACATTCCGAGTTAAAGCTCATATCTGATTTTTAAGTCCTCGAGTTGACATAAGAATGCAAAAAAAATAAAAAGATTTTAATACCTAAAGAGTAAAGACAAAATTCGAATATAATGAAATTAAAACTTAATTGAAATAAAAATATTAAAAATAAAATTTCATTGATATAAAACAAAAATAATAAGACATCATGGATGTTTATGAGAAAAAATAATACTTAATTTGTCCCAATTTTTAAGACATTCAACTCAACGAAGTAGCTAGGATGATTAAATTTTATTCAGTTGGATTTATTTTGATAATTATTTGGTAAATAAGAGACGAGAAATAAACACTATTTTATCTTACATTTCTAGACCCCTAAATCATTTTTTTTTTTGTGAATTTATATCGGTAACTTCTACAAACAAAAAGTAAAAGTTAAAAAAAAATAAAAAATCATCAAATATTTATTAAGAAATATATTGTGATGTGATGCATAGCTGTCCCACAATCCACAGGCTCTAGCACAGCGTTGAATGGAGAGTGAGAAGTGTTACTTGGTGACCAAGTTTGGAAGAAATCCATTTCAACCAAATGTATCTCTGTTAAGTCCGATTTTTTTCTCTCCCCTACATGTTTGATCACATTCACATCGTTTATCATATTCACAGACTCGCAACTGTACTCAATGGCGGCCGAAAGAAGAAAACGGAAAAGAGAGAAGAATGATGCAAAACTTCTCGTTCATGACAAAGTAGAGGTAATTTTACTTGTATCTTTTGGGTTTCTCTAGTGTCTTTTGGGTTTCACTCTATCTAATTTCATTCCAGTCTCTTTTGGGTTTATCGTGATGTAGACCAATGTGTGTGTATTTTGCATTTGGTTCAAGAAGGTAGGTTCTGTAGTTACTGCGTTTTTGTTTTCTTCTTAATTGTTCGTTCTTGGGTTCAGTTGTTTCAGTTATTCTCAGTGTTTGGGTTCTGCTTTGTTGTTGTATGTCAATTTTTGGTTCTATAGCACAGTTCTTTTGGTTTTCCTTGCTATAATTTTACTTGCATTGTGTTCCTTTGGACATTGTCTGTCTTTGTTATTTCTATTTATGGTTGCATGGCGACATTTTGTAATGTTTATGACATGATTAATTTGGGATTTTATCGGTGCACTAGTTTTTGGGTGTTACTCGATGCTTTCTTTTTCTGGATTTTATTTATTATTTGCATAGAATAGTTTTGGGTCCTGTGGATTAAATGATTCTGGATAATCAATTTATTTCTCTTTCTGATTTCTAGTTGCATTGCATGCAGCGTTTTCCTTGAGGTTTAGTNGAGTAAAGACAAAATTCGAATATAATGAAATTAAGACTTAATTGAAATAAAAATATTAAAAATAAAATTTCATTGATATAAAACAAAAATAATAAGACATCATGGATGTTTATGAGAAAAAATAATACTTAATTTGTCCCAATTTTTAAGACATTCAACTCAACGAAGTAGCTAGGATGATTAAATTTTATGCAGTTGGATTTATTTTGATAATTATTTGGTAAATAAGAGACGGGAAATAAACACTATTTTATCTTACATTTCTAGACTCCTAAATCATTTTTTTTTTTGTGAATTTATATCGGTAACTTCTACGAACAAAAAGTAAAAGTAAAAAAAAAATAAAAAATCATCAAATATTTATTAAGAAATATATTGTGATGAAATGCATAGCTGTCCCACAATCCACAGGCTCTAGCACAGCGTTGAATGGAGAGTGAGAAGTGTTACTTGGTGACCAAGTTTGGAAGAAATCCATTTCAACCAAATATATCTCTGTTAAGTCCGATTTTTTTCTCTCCCCTACATGTTTGATCACATTCACATCGTTTATCATATTCACAGACTCGCAACTGTACTCAATGGCGGCCGAAAGAAGAAAACGGAAAAGAGAGAAGAATGATGCAAAACTTCTCGTTCATGACAAAGTAGAGGTAATTTTACTTGTATCTTTTGGGTTTCTCTAGTGTCTTTTGGGTTTCACTCTATCTAATTTCATTCCAGTCTCTTTTGGGTTTATCGTGATGTAGACCAATGTGTGTGTATTTTGCATTTGGTTCAAGATGGTAGGTTCTGTAGTTACTGCGTTTTTGTTTTCTTCTTAATTGTTCGTTCTTGGGTTCAGTTGTTTCAGTTATTCTCAGTGTTTGGGTTCTGCTTTGTTGTTGTATGTCAATTTTTGGTTCTATAGCACAGTTCTTTTGGTTTTCCTTGCTATAATTTTACTTGCATTGTGTTCCTTTGGACATTGTCTGTCTTTGTTATTTCTATTTATGGTTGCATGGCGACATTTTGTAATGTTTATGACATGATTAATTTGGGATTTTATCGGTGCACTAGTTTTTGGGTGTTACTCGATGCTTTCTTTTTCTGGATTTTATTTATTATTTGCATAGAATAGTTTTGGGTCCTGTGGATTAAATGATTCTGGATAATCAATTTATTTCTCTTTCTGATTTCTAGTTGCATTGCATGCAGCGTTTTCCTTGAGGTTTAGTTAATTGAAGTGTAATGGTTGCATCCAAACACTTTCTTCTTGTGATTTCTGGCTGTTCTTCCCCGTAGGATTTGAGGATATTAATTAACATTGTGAAATTTGTGCAGGTGAGGAGTGTAGAAGAGGGGTTTCAGGGGTCATGGCACACTGCAACTGTAATAGCATGTGAAAATTTGGTTCGTCAAGTTCAGTACGACCATTTATTATGTGACTATGGTTCTCAGAATCTAACTGAATTTGTTAATGTAAGTCCCATGGTTGATGGGGTCTTTCCTAGACATGGGACCCTGCCTAATTATCGTGGCTTGATAAGGCCGTTACCACCTCCCCTTGATCTTGGGAAGTGGTGTCTCCATTATGGACTGTGTGTTGATGTGTTCCACAAGGATGCCTGGTGGGAGGGGGTGATTTTTGACAATGAAGATGGTTCAGAGGAGCGAAAAATTTTCTTTCCTGATTTGGGTGATGAATTGAATGCTCAAATTGAGATGTTACGGATTACTCAAGACTGGGATGAGGAAACTGAAGACTGGGAGCCTCGAGGGAATTGGTTGTTTCTTGAGTTGATTGAGGAAACTGAGCAAGAGTGGCCCCTTCTTGTTTCTGTGAAGCAAATTTGGTATGAAGTGCGGGTAAAGGATGGTTTTAAGAATGTCAAGGAATGGACTTGTTCTGTGAGGGATATTTGGAGAGACTGGGTGTTCCAGGTTATTATTGATAATTTTAAGTTAACTTGTAAGGAATTTTTTCACAAACTGAAATTTTCAGGGGACTTGGTACAAAAAGGCCAGCGATTAATGGAATTATCTGACTCTACTCTTGATACCCTATTGGAGCCAGAAGCATACGTAGGCAATTGTTTTGCTGTTGTACCCTTTGAAACCACTGGCCTATCGGATAGAGATGGGCTGCAGCCTGCTGGTTTGAATAATACTCTTATTCAACCTTTTGAAGAGGAAATTGAGCGGGATGGTGTTCCATTTGTTTTGAAGGATGATAAGGGGGATAACAATGTGATGACTAGCTCCATCATTTCCAACCAAGAAGAAGCGCTGTGTGCGCCACCTCCAGGTTTGTTGGTCTTACCTTCTGTTTCTGATGATAATTCTCTGATCATTTCCGATAAAAACACTGGACGGTTTTCTGGTATCAGTTCCAAAAAGCGACGTTGGATGATCAAACCTTCAACACAACGAAAAAAACATAAGTGGCTTCCTGCTGGCCATGACATGGTTCCTGAAGCTGAGTATTGCCCTGGTGCAATCACTGAATACATTAAAAAATCTGGCTCAAAGCATAGTCCATCAAATGTTTTAACCTTAAATGCTAGAAAACATCTTTCATATATGGGCTGGAAAATTGAGTTTGTGAGGGATAATTCCAAGCCAAGACTACGTTACATTTCACCTGATGGGGAGTGTTACATGTCACTTCGTCAAGTCTGTCAGGATTTCAGGGAACCTGGTTCTGCTCTGATTCCCTCAGATGATCAAAGAAGTTTAGTTGCTGCACCTGATTATCCATTCTCATCACAGCTTAGTAAACAACACGAAGTGTGCAAGGAGGCACCCGAGGTGCCTTCTAATTCTGATGTTGTTTTTGAACCTGAATACTGCCCTCAAGCTGTGGTGGACTATTATTTGCTAGGATTAGAGGACAAAAATCTCCATCGCGGGGAGAAGAGAGATGCTAAGCTTCGGGATATGCCATTAAAAGTAAAGAAACACCTGTCTGCCATTGGTTGGTCATTTTATTACAAGTGGAAGGGTGGCAAGAGGGAATTACGATACAGTTCTCCAAGTGGAAGATTGTTTTATTCTCTTTCAGCAGCCTGCAAATTTTGTACAGAGGAAGAGGGACTCTCTAGTATTAATGCTTATGCCTCTGGACTAAGGCCAAACATCAATCTCAGCAAGGAAGCTAAGGGCCAGTTGGGTATTGAGAGATCGTCCCCTCCACTAATGAAGACTCGGGGATGTTTGGTATCATGGGATGCTTTACCTGAAAAGCGGCCAACAGAGTCTTCTGGTGTATCACTGTCAAGGGAACATGTTGAACTGGGTAAAGTCAATGTCCAAGGAACTGAAAATTGCCGAAGAAAGAGAAAAAACTCTGTGTATATTGCATCGCGCTTAAATCAAACAAATAACCAATGCTTTGGTTCACCATTGCCAAGGAAAGAAAAGGGATCTAAAGCTTTGATCAAGCAAAGAAATGATATGGATGGTGATTATTCTATGCGGACACTTCAATCAAGCAAAAGAGCGCGAGAGGTGGTGGTTCCTTCTTCCTGCCAGCGCACTCCTCGAACTGTCTTGCCTTGGTTAATAGACAATAATGTAGTTTTGCCACGGGCAAAAGTATATTACCTNAGAGCGCGAGAGGTGGTGGTTCCTTCTTCCTGCCAGCGCACTCCTCGAACTGTCTTGTCTTGGTTAATAGACAATAATGTAGTTTTGCCACGGGCAAAAGTATATTACCTTGGTAGAAAGAGTGGTCATCGAATGGCAGAAGGGCGAATTACTCGTGACGGGATCAAATGCATCTGTTGTCAAAAAGTATTTACTCTCAGTAACTTCGAAGCTCATTCTGGCAGCACTAATCACCGACCTTCAGCCAATATTTTTTTGGAGGATGGCAGATCTCTGCTGGAATGCCAATTGCAATTGAAACAGAATAATAGCGTGAGCAGTGTAAGTAGAAAACGACGGGAGATGAATAATTATCAGCATCATAGCATGGCTGACTATGTATGCTCTGTCTGTCACTATGGTGGTGAATTAGTTTTATGTGATCAGTGTCCATCCTCATTTCATAAAAGTTGCCTTGGTTTGAAGGTGATTTCTTTTTTATTCCCACGATATACTTTGTTTCTTCTTTTATTTTCTTTGTTTGCTTGATTTTCCTTTGGAAAATAAAATCATTAAAAATAGTTTGTGATTCTAATTTTTGGTTGCATTTTGTTTCTTTTTAGGATGTTCCAGGTGGTGACTGGTTCTGCCCATCATGCTGTTGTGGAATTTGTGGCTTAAGAAGGATTAATAAAGACAGTGACCTAATTACAGATAACCGGGTTCTAAAATGTGATCAGTGTGAGCGTCAATGTATGTTTTCTGAATCTGTTTACATATATCTTCTTTTATGCATGCAGATATGTAATCGAACATGTGCGTACACATGTCCATCACCTCTATTGTGTTCCTAACGAATGATCAATTTAATGCAGATCACATTGATTGCTTAAGGAGACAAGGTCTTGTAAAGCTGGATGGTTATCCTAAAGGAAATTGGTTGTGTAATGTAAGATGTGAACAGGTATTTCAAATGTTTCTTTCCCTCTTTATGTAGGNATGGTTATCCTAAAGGAAATTGGTTGTGTAATGTAAGATGTGAACAGGTATTTCAAACGTTTCTTGCCCTCTTTATGTAGAATTATGAGGTTAAATATCAGAAGTACTGGATTTGAGATTTATTGACATATACTAAAGCTCGAATTGCATACTTCAGAAGCATGACTTTTATTCTTTATCCATTGGAGCATATCAATTATACTAACAACATTTTTTGACTCTTGTACATGGACTTAATTATTGCTTAAACACAAAAAGGAGCTTGTCAGTTTCATTTTCTGTTTTGGTATCTCTCTCTCTCTCTCATGTGGTTCTTTTGCATTTATTAAGATGATAGTTCTTTGATGCACTCTATCTCACAATTTACAGACTTTTTACTGGTAAATAAGAATATAAGTTAGGCAGTTCACGTGGCGTTGATTGCAATACCAATAAAACTCAACCTTCAATGCATTATTTTCCTAGTTGGCTAATGTAATATTTACAGTCTACCTGTCTGATATAGAGCTGCAGAGACAATTGGTGAAATATAAATACTTGGATTTCCACCTATTTGGGATACAGTCTATCACGTTTGCAACATGCCAATAAATAATGTCATCCGCTTGTATCTCCTATGAGGTCTTTAAACATACTTCTAGATTGGTCTGGGATTACAGAAGAACCTAGCAATTATCTCTTACTTCCTCTATCTGGTAGGTGGTTTTATTCACATTCTTGTGTGTTAGTTTAGCCTTTCTTATTTGAAAGAATTGTCTTGAGGTGCAAACATTTGCAGCTGAGTTATTTAAGGCCATTGAAGAATTTTGGCTCTTTGTACTTACTTGCTCGCATTTGTATCTACCAGCTGCATAATTTCAAAGCAGTTTATGATGTCTTTGGAGGAAGATTTTGATTGGACTTTGAATCTTTATGATTGAGATGATTGGCATAACTGTTTGATAGAAATCAAAAAGGGATTGAATGAGTTTAAATTGAAGAATTGAATTTTTATTATTTGTTTTAGTATTATTTTATTAGTTAAGGAATATTTGTTTGACTAGGAGTATTAATTAGAATTTGACTAGGAAATTATTATAGAGTTTTAGTACGATAAGAATTTGAGAGTTTGATTATGAAACTCTTTTAGTATTTTAGTAGGAGAATAGTTTTTATTTTAGTAGGGAACTTGGCCTATAAATAAAGATGTAATCCCAATTATTTTCATTAGAGAGATTATGAATAAGAATTGAGTATTCTCCGCAGAGATTTGTGTGTTTCTTCATCGATTCTTTGCGAGGATGAGGTAAACTCCTTTCACCCCTTTTTCTTTCTTCTTCTCTTTCTATTCTGTGATTTTTAATCCTTCCCGTTCTATATCAATAGATATCGAAAAGGGATTGAATGAGTTTAAATTGAAGAATTGAATTTTTATTATTTGTTTTAGTATTAGTTTATTAGTTAAGGAATATTTGTTTGACTAGGAGTATTAATTAGAATTTGACTAGGAAATTATTATAGTATTTTAGTACGATAAAGATTTGAGAGTTTGATTATGAAACTCTTTTAGTATTTTAGTAGGAAAGTAGTTTTTATTTTAGTAGGGAACTTGGCCTATAAATAAAGGTGTAATCCCAATTATTTTGATTGGAGAGATTATGAACAAGAATTGAGTATTCTCTGCGGAGAATTTGTGTGTTTCTTCACTGATTTCTTGTTAGAATGCGGTAAACCCTTTCCACCCCCTCTTCTTTCTTCTTTTCTTTCTATTTTGTGAATTCTAGACCTTTCCGATCTACATCAATTTGGTATCAGAGCCCAACTTCGATTGGTAAAAATAAAAAAAAATTGTTCATCACGACACTGTTCACTGGTACTGTTTATTAGCTTTGTTGAGTTAAAAAAAAAAAAACTCACCTAACAAATTCAGAAAATTACAGCAACATCCTTGCTGTTTCAGAAATTACAGAAACACCCCAGAAAATTTTAGAAGTTACAGAACCACCACTAGAAGTTTTAAAAATTACAGAATCTTCCCTCTAGAAGTTTTAGAATTGCAGAAACATCCCCAATATATCCAAAAAAATTACAGAATCATCCCCAAAAAATTTTAGAATTTTCTCTTGATTATGATGGTTTCTAACGCCAAATTAAATGCTAAAGTAGAGGCTTTATCCCAAGCATAAGTTGATTCACAAAAGGTCATGAATGCTAGACTAGATACAATTCAAACATCTATCGATTCACTGAGAGAACTTGTGCTCGCTATAGTTTGTGAAACTAAAACAAGTGAAGATTTTAACTTTGTCTCTGCAACCGTCAATCAAAAAGTGGTTGAACACAGCCCTCCAGTTATACCACAAGTTTTACCATCACAAGTTCCAATTCGATTGAATTCCGATAAACTGAAGTTATTCACTGCTGATGAGACCAAAAGTTCTATTTATACTCATCCTACAACAATTGCTTTTGATAAGCCGATTGCAAAGGGTGTTCCTACAGATGAAGTTAAGCAAGTTTCAAACATGATTTTTTTAGATAGGATTGCTACTTTTTCTTCAACATCCTCACTATCCTTTTATCTGGAACAAAGTGTGAAAGTTATAAAGATTCAAGATATAAATTCCTCCCATTGTGATATCTAAAAATCTTACTTCTATGCTATCGGGTTTGAAGATGTGTTTTACCATCTAATGTCAATTCTCTTGGAGTATTCTTGCTACAACAACTCTTCGGAGAAGAGTTTTTTCAGTCGAGGAGAATTGATAGAAATCGAAAAGGGATTGGATGAGTTTAAATTGAATAATTGAATTTTTATTATTTGTTTTAGTATTATTTTATTAGTTAAGGAATATTTGTTTTACTAGAAATATTAATTAGAATTTGACTAGGAAATTATTATAGAGTTTTAGTACGATAAAGATTTGAGAGTTTGATCATGAAACTCTTTTAGTATTTTAGTAGAGAAGTAATTTTTATTTTAGTAGGGAATTTGACCTATAAATAAAGGTGTAATCCCAATTATTTTGATTGGAGAGATTATGAACAAGAATTGAGTATTTTCTGCGAAGATTTGTGTGTTTCTTCACCGATTCCTTACGAGGATGAGGTAAATCCCTTCCACTCCCTCTTCTTTCTTCTTTTCTTTCTATTTTGTGAATTCTAGACCTTCCTGATCTACATCACTGTTAGCTTTCTCGAATGTGATAATAGTCAAATATATGTACCTACTTTGAGTATTTCATAAATAATACTTCTGTATTATTCTAGGAGATTGATGATTTCTATCTAATTTAACTGAACATGTAGCTCTTGACGGACCAAAATGATGAAAAATGATTCATGTAGAATGACCCGAAATAATTGGCACAAAAGCTAGGTTGGGTTTGACGATTCCTCTCTACTATGAATCTTCAAAAGATATAATCAAGAATGGTAACTTGTATACCTGAAAATATGCTTGCAAATGACGTGAAAATGCATGCGAAACATGACTTTAATGCTTATTTTTCTAAGATCATGTAAATTTTGTTGGCTTTAATCTTTAAGATGGTAGGCCGTGGAAGACAAGATTGTATGTTGTTTTTTACATGCTTGTCCTATTTTTGCAGATATTTTTGGGCCTGCGCAGGCTTCTGGGGAAACCAGTTGCAGTGGGAGTTGATAATCTAACTTGGACTTTAATGAAATACATGACAATTGATGGATGTGATTATGATGCCTCCGATACTGATGTCTTGATGGAGAACTACAGCAAACTAAACGTTGCTCTTGGTGTTATGCATGAGTGTTTTGAGCCTGTCAAGGAACCTCGCACAAGGAGGGATCTTGTTGAAGACGTGATCTTTAGTAGAAGGTAAGATCCAGTTTTCTTGAAGATATTGTTTGTCTACGACCACTGCATTGTTTATTTGTCCAGTCTGTACATAATATAGAAATCTTTTTATAGTTTAGTTAAATAGTATTCATATGATCAAATCTAGCAAGTGTACCACTATTTGTGGTTCTGATGATATTCCGGCAATGCTATCATCCCCATTTTACTGGTGCAGGATTGCAGTTTTTGTCCAAGGGTTTGTGCAGTGATGTTCGTCATGATTTTGTTCTTTCCTTGTAGCTAAAACACACATTACATAATCTAAAAGTGATGCTTTTTACTTGACGTGAGCTTGATTGATTACTCCAGTTTTTTTTTCTTTTCTGATGCTGATTGTTTTATTCCTTTTTTTTTTTTTGAAATTTTTAATGACTCGAAGTAAGATTAGAATCCACTCTGTGTCTTGTTAGGGACCGGTATGCATATTATCCATTTCCTCTATTGTAGTTTCTTTGTGTTTCGGTTTTATATTCTTTTCATCTGGAACTATGTTTTACCAGGATGTGGTCACGTGGAGATACGTTTGGATGTTCATGTATTTCTAACCGTTCGTTTTGTCAGATTTCCAATTAAAGGACAGTAGGTCATGATTAAATATTCATATTCTTTTGTATTCGTATCAAAAGTGGTGTATGTAACATAGTGCATTCCACACGGGCACACTACTCATTTCAAAGCAACACAGGAACATGACAAAAAAATTCTATGAACAATGATATGGAACACAATGATGACCAGGCATACTTGCTGGTGCATGTCCAATTAAACATGTTGAATTTATGTCCTCAACTCTCTTGTGTGTCAAACACGAGTACTTAATGGCTAGCCCTTTCGAGCTCAGTTTACCCTTGTGGTCGGAGCCTCCTTTTGTTCTATTAGACTCCTTCCTTTCTTCTAGTGTAATGTTATATGGGATAATTACAATAAAAGACATCTTACACCTTTGGTCTTCTCACTCAAAAGTCGGAGCTCTCTCTCTAGCTACCTACCTTTCCATGTTTACTTCTTCACTTCAAGTTCTATTACTATGTCTCCTATTGCTTTGCATTAAATTCGTTGCTATCCAGGCATCAAGGGGTGGACCCTAAACAACTTAGACGTCATTACATGGTGTGCAGAGATAAAATGTTGTTAAGACGTGGTCTATTGCAGAGCACTTCCTCTCTTCTAAGTTACTGGATGCACTTGTGCAGCTGATGTTTGTTTTGATCAGAGATACTTCGTGCAACTATTTTTAAATAGGCATTGAGTGTAATCACTTAGTGTTCACACTACTAGTTTAAGTCTACTCTTTGTAATCCTGTGATGTTCTTGATTGCGTTGTTCTTTTCATTAGATCTGTGTTCATAAAGGATTCAGACATTTACCATGTTGTTTACTTACCAGGCATCACTTCTTATTGCTTCAAGTGTAAGGGTAATTATTTGAAATTTGCAGGTCGGAGCTGAATCGTTTGAACTTCCGAGGGTTCTATACAGTGATTTTGGAGAGAAATGACGAACTGATCACGGTTGCTAATGTGAGGTATTATAGAACTTCAGATCAAACTGAGATAAGTTTATTTCTCTTCTTTTGTCAGATTATAGTAATAAAAATGCTTTGGTTTGTTTAATTCCTTATCTCTCTGTTTAAGGGTGTATGGAGAAAAGGTGGCAGAAGTACCGCTTGTCGGTACACGATTTAAGTATCGCCGACTTGGAATGTGCCGCATTTTGATGAATGAGCTTGAAAAGGTAGAGTGCTCTGTGTGTATTTGCATGTGCAAGCATTCTCAACATTTTTTGTATTTGATTTCAGTGGGTTCGCCTTATGTTTTTTAACAGCAGGGGTAATAGATGATAACTGCTACTGAGAGCGGCTGAAAGTTTAGTCATTTTTGTTCACATGCTTCAGTGTGCAAATAATATAGATATTTGAGAAGCCTTATCCCTATCCGTCACCTGAAAAACTGTAACACCCCAAAACACACTCTGGATGACATTACATTCTAAAATCATTTATATCATGAGAGCACTAATATAATCCCTTAAGAAACAAGACTTCATTTGTCATCCACGAATATTTACAACATTATCCAAAAGAATAAGCCCAAGTCATGGCTATTACATCTCAAAAATTAATTAAAGAAG